TCCAGTCTGGGCGACAGAGTGAGACTCCAACTCAAAAAAAAAAAAAAAAATACAGAGTCTCAAGGGCCTCTTGCAGTCATGAAATCCTGAGTGGGTATTAGACTTAGGAATCTGCATTTTAAACAACCTGCCATGATCTAAAAGGGTGATGTCAGAGCACACTTCTGAGAAACTCGGCCCCAGGATGTTCCTGCTCAGGTATAAATAAAGATCCAATCACTTAGCCAGGGGTGGTGGCTCACGCCTGTAATCCCAGCACTTTGGGAGGCATAGCCCAGAGGACTGCCTGAGCCTAGGGGGTTCAAGACCAGTCTGGGCAAAATGGCGAGACCTCATTTCCACAATAAATAAAAAAATTAGCTGGGCATGGTGGCGTGTGCCTGTGGTTCCAGCTACTTGGAAGGCTGAGGTGGAAGAATCCCCCCGAGTCCAGCAGGTTGAGGCTGTGGTAGCCATGAGTGTGCCTCTGCCATCTGGCCTAAGCAACAAGTAAGACTCCAACTCCAAAAAAAAAAAAATGTTTTTAAAGATCCAGTTACTTGTAAATCCCATGCAAGTAAAAGGGTGAGTCCAGGCCTGGCACACAGTAAGTGCTCACTAATTGTGTCATTATTGATGTTAAGTTCATGTTACCTGCGGGGAGAAGGTAGGATCCTGGTGGGTGGGCTGTCCTCCAGCCCTTCCCAGTGGCCCAGACCCTAAGGTCTGTCCTGCTGTTTGCGGCCAGAATGGAACTATTGGAGAGGGAAGCTTCCACAGGATTAAGGGCAGTAGGACAAAGGTGCCTAAATCAAGTTCAAACCTCTCTGACCCCCTCACCCCCACACAGCACTCCTCCATGTTAGCCCCACATGCTCCCTGCATCAGTGCAAGGCCTCCTGGGCTTCCTAAAGTCACAGAAGGGTCAGGGGTAAGGCTGAGTGTGCCCTGAGATCAACTTCTCTAGCAGGACAAGGAAAGAGGGGCATAAGGCTCATTGTCCAAGCCCCTGCTTGGAATAAGCTGCCCTCCGGGTCCAGTGGCAGAGACAGGAGGGTGTGAAGTCCCTGGAGGCACAGCCCTGAGGGTCACTGAGGGCCTGGAAGGATGTCCCCTTCCTCCCTGGCAGCTAGGAGCAGGCCACAGGTTCAGCCCTTGGAATCTCCCTGTGAGGACACTGGACAGACTCCCTTCCACGTGGACCTGTGACCTCCAGTCCTCTCTCAGGGGTGGCTGGCTGAAGTCCCCACCTGAAAAGGGGTCCAGGAAGTCCCAGGCCTGCGCTCTTAACTCAGAAAGGAGGCAAGCAGGAGGCTGCAGCCAAATAGGAGTCCCAGCCCTGAGCAGGTCAGAAAGTGAATGTAGCAGGACAGGGGGAGGGGAGGAGGAGAGGGGAGTGGCCGGGAGGGTCAAGAAAGGCAGCTGAGGGAGTTAAGATATGCAGATAGAGAGCCAAGTGAATGCCTGGGAGAAAGGAAATACCGGAGCCCAGGGAGCGAAGGAGACTGTGGGAGCGAACTCTGGAACCCACTAGAGGGTGTGGCCTGGACCCCAACCTAGCTTAGACCCAGCCTGGTGCCTCTGCCTGGCCCCCTCCAACCCAGGGCCAGGAATGCTGGGCTGGGGGTGAGTGAGTTACAGTGCTTCTGATCTAGCACAGGGACCTGCCTCTGAGCTGGGGTGGGGGCTGAGGGGTGAGGGATAATTTACATCTGGGGGTGTCCATTCCAGTCCTGGGTCTAAACCTAGCTTCCTCCTCAGCATGGCTGGTGCTGCAGGATGTGTGTGGAGTATGAGCCCCTGCAGCCTGCTAGGGAGCGGGTGGGTGCGTGGAAGGTGAGGGGCTGTGTCCCCTCCCAGGCAGCCCCTGCTCTGGGCTGGGGCTGGAGGATCCTCTGCCTGTGACTTGAAACTCTTTTCCTCTTAGTCTCAGAGTCAAGGACAACAGAGCACACCGAGTTCCCACCTCTCTCTTATCCCAGCAGGAAATCCAGGGACCTTGGCTCTGAGTGCTTCTCCTAGAAAGGATAAACTGAGGCCAGAGGCGAAGTAAGGAGTAAGGCAGGCCCCAGCCACACAACAGCTTGTCCCTCCCGCACCCCCACCCCAATTGCTGTGCATTCCTTCAGCACTTGGAGTGCAGTTTTCGTTTGCACTCCATTAATTTGCAAGTAGGCTGCTTTGTAAGTGTTCTTTTGTCTTTTTTCCCTGGCTGTCCTGACTCCCTCACCCAACCAGGGGTCCCCAAGGGTGGGGGCTGCCTCCCCCACCAGCCTCCTCTGCAGAAGCCCTGCTCTCGTGTCCCTGCACCAAAAGGCTATGGGGCACGTTGCGGGAGCAATACAGACAGCCAGAAAGCTGCCAGATGGTGCAAGATGCAAAGCCCCGTGAGCTAGGTGATGAAGGGGCAGTGTTCTCACTCTCCAGGTAGGAAACTGAGGCTGAGAGCGGCTTCACCACTACATTAGACTGGTAGAAAGAGGTGGAGTGGATTTCGTTGTGTGGACATTGATTTCAGCTTCCTACTGGACATCCCCACGGGCTCTGGCACATTGTTCTGCCTCTCCTGTCACACAGGTCTGCAGTTCTCAAGTACATGTGAGATGAACACGTTTTTGAGGGAGCCAACTAGGCCTTATGCATCTTGACATTCCTGGGGGAGCCTGGGCTGGACTCTTCTCTCTGGGACCCTCCGAGGAGCTCCAGGAAAGGACCGACCAAATACAAGGCTGCCAGGAGCACTAAACCGCCAGCCTCTCACTACCCTGCCAGAAGGGCTTCTTTGGACCCTAAGCTGAGTCAAACTCTGCGGCTCCCAGGCACTAGGCAGATCCCAAGCTGGGGAGGTTGAGAAGGAGAATAATCATCCCAACTTCTCATGACTGCTGCAGCCCAGTGTAAGCCCCCAGGTCAATGGAACATTAACCATCATTCCACTTTCTGCATCTCAACTCCGATTCCACCTGGAAGGGCACCACAGACCATGGTTTTCTCCAGCAAATCCCTGCAGAAGGACAGGTCCCTGGGTGACCTTGGCTGACCTAGCTCCTCCCACCCCCATTCTTGTAGTTCTTAGGCTAACTGCAGAATGTGCTGGAAATAAAACATTCTGAGAAAAGGAGGGACTGTCTGGAACAGCCTGGGCTCTGTTCCTGCTGCTTTCAGGACAGGATGTCCTGCAACACTTTAGCCCAGCAATCCAATTTCTCCCAGGGTATAAAACCCAGGGTGGAGTGCTTTCAGGGTCCCTCAGTTGCAGTGCAATGTGGGACATGGGCAGACGAGACTGTTCTCCCTTGGCAGCTTTCCTGAGCCTTGAGGGACCAGTTTGCCATGAATCCTAGGCTTCCATCGTCCCCCAAAGCCTACCTGTGAGTATAAAACTGCTTTGCTTAGCTTGTAGTGCAAGCGTTCTATCTCACCAGACTCATGGTGCAAATGATAGAATAAGCAATGCTTGGTGAACCTGCTTCACAATGCCAAGTTCAGGATTCAGTAGTTTCAAAGACAGAAACCCACCTTTCTCATTTTCCCTGTTGTCTCCTTGTGGGTACTTGCAGTCAGTGGTATTTGGGGACAACCTCAGTTCATGAAGGGGCTAAGTATACAAGGGTCAGGGGAGCACAAGTGACTGCCCTCCTAAAATCCGCTTATTTTTGTCTGTTGCAAACTTCCATACCAGGTTAATTTTCTTAAATCCTAGTGTGCAACATACTCTGCCCTTGCTCAGGTACTTTCCGAGGCTCTATCCTCTCCTAGGGTGAGGGAGAGATCGTCTCCTCAGCTGGCCACATCAGCTGGCCCCAACGAGCACACTTGGCTTCAAAAAAGCTGGACTTCAGTGTCACACAACAGGTCTCACCCTGCCCAGAAAGCTGTACCTTCCACAAAAATTCTACCCTACTCTTAGGGACTCCTCCCTGGGGACCAGCCCTCCTTGCTACAGGACTCACAGTGCTCCCTCCTCTCAAGGTCACCTTGGCTTCCTTCACATACTGCCCGCTCTCACCTTGCCTATTTCCCTTATAAAACACAGACTTCCTGAGGCCAGGCCTCAAATCTGCTCCTCCGGCCTCCAGGCATGGCAGGACCCAACACATGCTGATGCCATGATGTGACCTGGAGACGCAAGAGGCAGCAGTGTGTGATAGGAAGAGCCCAGGCTTGGCAGCCATATTCCTATGCCTCCTTGGTGCTGCTGTTTCCTAGATGCTATCACCTCTCTTTGCCTTCCCCTCCTCATCTGTAAAATATTCAGACATCATGCTTACCGCCAATGCCCTGTTGTGAGGGTTAGGTGAGAGCATTCATTCACTCACCCATTCATTCATTCCACACTCACTCACTGAGCATCTACTGGGTGCCAGGAACTGTGCTAGATGCTACACAGGGCAGTCACCAAAGGACGGACTTGCCTCCATGGAGATGACATTCTGGTGGGGCCGACGGATGACACACAACTCGATAAATAATCTCAGATATTAGTAACTGCTGGGAAGAAAAATAAGGGAGTGTGAGGGGAGAGGAAATAATGAGTAACGGTGACTGCTTTCCTGGTGGGGTGGTCAGGGAGGGTCCCTTTGAGGAGGTGACATTCAGGCAGAGCTCTAAGAAAGGACTGGGATGCAGTAAGTACTTCGTTACCCTGCACACCCTCAATTTCAACGGCTGCCTTAGGTATCCCCACTGGGTGGGGGCCCCAGGAGGAACTGAGGGAGGGGGCAATCCTCTCCTTACTGTTACCTACACAAGCCAGGGACCTGTACCTCCAGGCCCACTCCACACGGCCTGTGCTCGCCCTTGCCTTCTCCCAGCTCTGCCCTTGTCCTCAGGGCCTGCCCTCCCTGAATCCCAACTCCATCTCACACCCGTTAATTAATAGAATCATCACTCTGTTATTGTTACTATGTGCCCTTATTTGTTTACAGTCAGGACAAATAGGAGTTCTCAGAACATCCCTCTGAGGGAGGTAGTAAGGTTACTACTATTTGTATTTCATAAGCAGAAAAACTGAGGCTCAGCGAGGTGATAAGCAGAGAAACTGAGGCTCAGCGAGGTGGGATTTGCCTCACGGTAGATGCCTGCAAAGGGCCTGGCCTCACATCTAATCTTTGTACCTGAACCTCAGACTCTGTCTTTACAAATGGTCCTGCACTGTACACACACACACACACACACACACACACACAGAGAGAGAGAGAGAGAGAGAGAGAGAGAGAGACAGAGAGAGACAGAGAGAGAACAGCCAGCCCCTCCGGCAGACCAACCTTGTCCATATGGATATCCCCCACAACACCAAGCCCAGGGTAAAACCCATGCATTCCCACAGAAAGATTCCAGAAGCACTGTTTGAGAGTCTGAAAACAGAGCAGGACACTTTTCACCCTCTGAACAAACTGGGGTGGGCTGCCAGTTGCTCCCTCATTCCTTGCCCTGGGCCGGCCCGTTTCCCTTCCCTCTTTCCCTCCTCCCCACAGTGGCTTCTCTGTCCTGCTGCCCCAACTCACTTCTCCAGCATGGACATGACGATCGGGGGTAGCACCAGGATGGGCATGGGCAGGACCACTCGCGTCAGCGCCGTCTCCAGCAGGGCCTGAACGGCAGGTAGAGGTTGTGGTGAGAAGGGCCCTGGATGGCCAGGTGACAGGACAGCACACCCTGCCCCGAGCCCCTCGGTGTATGTGCCACACATCTGGCTGAATAGAATTATTCACAGAATTGCTCACAAAGCTGTATTCCAAATAGCAGGAAAAAAGCCACCATCTTCTTGCCACACACATTTGAAAAGAGCAGATTCCTGTCACCTGCCACTTGTAGGGGAGGGATGGTGACACAGAAGCAGCCCAGAAAGGGGCTGAGCTCCCTGGGGTGATGGGCGCACCTGCCCAGCATGTCCAAAAGCAAAGCAGGTACAAGGAGGACCAGAAGAAACAGCTGGGGTTTGGTGAGCCACGTGAAGCTCATGGAGCTAAGGGAGGACAGAGTTTCTGGAATTCACCTTTTTTTTCGGACATCCCTTAAAGACAAATATTTGGAAGATCTTGTGTCTCTTGGCCTTGGGCGAGGCTTTCTTAGTGACAAGAGGTTGGCTTTGTAAGATGCTGTGCATCTTTGGGCTCTCTATGGGGATCTGCCTGGGGCCCTGCTTGGGGGGCTCCTGAGGAACTCCTGGGTCGGGCTGCAGTCCAGGGCACAGCAGTGCCATTCTGTGCTCTGACAGCCATTGTGGGGCTGCAGTCCTCAGAGGAGGCCCCAAGGACAGCTCATAACCCATGAACCCCAGCAGAACCCAGAGAGTAAGAAACAGACCCAACCAGGCTGAAGGAAGCCCAGGGATGCAGAAAGGCTTGGGTTTCCTTGCTGCTTGGCACTGAGAGGTGGAGTATCATGGTTGTTCCCCATCATGGGGGCTGGGGAAAAGAACAGGGTTGGGGTAGGAGGTTGGGATTAGGTAGGAAACTGAGGCTAAATCCCCTCTGACAAAGGGCTCAGGGCTGAAAATTTCTCCCGGGAACTTCAGCTCTTCATGGTCGGCTTCAGGAAGGCCTGGGAGAGGGTCCCACAGGCATGGGGATAAGGGAGGGTCTAGTGCCAGTGCAGGGAGCAGAAGATGCAGTATCAGCATGGCGCCCCCAGCCCCTTGCCCGTGCAAATTTTGGAGGGGCACTGACTTGGCAAGGGCTCTTCCCAGACTAACGGCTTATCGGGAAGGTCTCATGACAGGGCTGAGGTTTGGGCCCCACGTGGGAGCTGGTGAGGACAGTGGCTGAAGCAGAGGTGAATACTCGGCTACCTTATGGCAGACCCCTACCCCCACCCCCTGCCCCATACCCAGAACTCAGAAGCCAGAGCCCAGGGCAGTAGGATGAGCCACTAACCACCCCTGGCATAAAGACTGGGAAACACAAGGTTGTACAGATGGGTTCGAGTTTTTAAAAAATTATAATTGCTGGCTGGGCTCAGTGGCTCAGTCTGGAATCCCAGCACTTTGGGAGGCTGAGGCGAATGGATTGCCTGAGCCCACAGGTTCGAGACCAACCCGGGCAACTTGGTGAGACTTCGTCTCTACAATAAATAAAAAATGAGCCAGGCGTGGTAGCACACACTTGTAGTTCCAGCTATTTGGAAGGCTGAGGCAGAAGGATTGCCGGAGCCCAGCAGGTCGACGCTGGGGTGGTCGTGAGCATGCCACTGCACTCCAGCCCGGGTGATGGAGTGAGATTCCAACTCAAAAAAAAAAGTCTTAATTGCTAGAGTGGGTGAGGCCAGTGAAACCAGAGGTGAAAGGTCTTCTTGTAAAAAAATATTCTCCACTCCTCTGAAGCCTGAAATCTCTTGCCCTCATGAATTCACTCCCCCATGAGGTGTCACCTGCAAATATGCCTATTAACCCAGAACCACAAACTGCTGGCCTCCCAGGCTTCCTCTTCTTACCCAAGAGGATGTGAAGGCCCTGGGGGTGGGGGGAGGCCCTAGATCTGGGGAGGAGCAAGAGAGCTCTAGGGGAATCTCCTCGGCCCTCACCAATCAACACCTCAACTGCCTGAAGTGATCTGAGAAACTGGGTCCTAAGGGGCTGGGACAAGAGATGGGGATGGATCATAGCCACAGTAAGGGACCACATACAGGAGGACAGGCTTGGCTGGGGCCAGATCTCCAGGCCAGGGCTCATGAAGACGGGAGGAGGAGGCATCAAGAGGACAGAGCTAGGGTACTGTGGACAGAAGCCCCGAGAAAGGAACATGTTAAGGGAAAACCAATCCCCCCTCCCTGTTGCTGGCCTCCCCACCGGCCCCCAGCACCCCGGGCAGACCTACATGTCGGGCTGCGATCTTGGAGGAGCCCACAAGGTTGCCGTCACCATCCAGGACATCAATCCCTTCCTCCAGCTCCCCGTAACGCATCAGGACCACATTGCAGATATTGGCGCTGGCTGCAGAGAGAGGGGGTGCCGGGAGCAAGGGGGAGGGGGAGACTGCTGGGTTCCTCCCCCACCCAAGCCACAGGGTTCTGTGTTCTGATGTGGTGGGCGAAGGGAGGGTTCTGGTGTCCAACTGTCTGTCAGTCTGGGAGGGACTTGAGGGCCCTTGGGGACCTGAGGGGCAAAGGTGGAACAGGACAGGTGTTAGAAGGACATCTACCAGGGCTTAGAGAGAGGCCACTTATCAAGGGTGCTGCTCTCCTCTCCTCAGGGCAGGCCAAGTCGATACCCATCTGGGAGGGCTCTCTGGCCTGGAGACACACCGCCACCGGGGCCTGGTGTTCCCCCATCAGCAGCTCACCCCATCCTCTTGAATCGCCAGTCCTCACATCCAGCCCTTTGTGCCGCAGAGTGAATCAAGTTCCCAGAGATTTGCTTCCCTGACAGTAGGTGCCAGAGCAGGCAGGAACCTCAGTGCTGACCCAGCACCGCCTCCTCATCATAGGGATGGAAAACTGAGGCTCAGAGAGAGGGAGCGACTTATCTGAGGTCACACAGCCAAGTGGGACAGAGTGGAAAGGCCACAGTGCCTTAGCCTCTGGAAATCCAGGAGAAAGGAGGGTTGGGCTGGGCTAGGAGCAGGCCCAGTTAAAGGCAGGCCTTCTACATTCTTGCTTCCTTTGGCCATGCCCCTCCCCTGTCTCAGCTGAGATCTCGGGGATCTGGCCTGAGGGGAGGATTCCTGCTCCCTAGTTGAAGCACTGGATGCAGAAGGCTGGAGACCACCCATCAGCCAGCAACGAGCTCAGGGAGCCTCTTTCTGCTCCCCTTGCCTGGGGCTCATGTGGCTGGGCCTGGCCCCGTGGCCTCTGCAGTGTGGGTGCTGACCATGCCCGAACTCCTCCGCCCTGCTTCAGGATGGAAGCCGGGGGGAGTGGTGGGCAGGTGGGGAGTGGGGGGTGACAAACGCAGAGCCCGCCTGCCTTACTCCTCCCCCAAAAGCGCCTTGCTGTGTTTAAAGTTTTAATTTTTGCTAATTAATGTCAATTAATTTTGTATAATGAGTGTTTAATTTTGGGGAGTGTGTGAGCCTGGGAGCGACTGCAGTTCTGGGCTGTGAACGCTGATTAGCATCAACACCTGCTGCTTCCCCCTCCCTCCAGTGGGGGGGCACCAGGGTTTGGGGAGCTGGAGGGTGGTAGGGCCTAGTGGGCAGGCGGAGTGGGAGGGAGACCACAGATGCTCCCGATGCCCGAGCCAATGAGCGGTCCAGGGAGCACACAGCTGGGGGTCAGGGCTCTGCAGGTGAGGCGTGGCTTGAGACCCCGGGGGTCTCTAAGCCTCGGTTGTCTGTTCCAATAAAGTGGGGAGGTGGAATGAGCAGGGGAAGACCGAAAGAATCTGCAGTCTTTGCAGAAGAAAAGCAGGAGGCCAAATACAGTTCTGAAATGTATTTCGAGCACACGCACCATCTTTGAGCTTCTCTACTGCTTCCATGCAATGCTCGGCACAGTGGGAGCCATGGGCAGACTCTCTGGCCTGGGACCCCAGCCTGGCGCCCCTCCTGTCCCTAGCAGGTGTGCTCGCCTATCTTAACAGTTGCTTCCAGGGATGATTCTGTGAGACATTTGGCTACGTCCAGAGACATTTTCGATGACCATCATCTGGGGATGGGGGGCTACTGGTATCTAGTGGGCAGAAGTCATAGATGCTGCTGGACATCCTACTATGCACAAGACCGCCTCCACAGCAAAAGGATTATCTGATCCCAAATGTCAATAGTGCTGACAGTGAGAAACCCTTGTTTTTGCCACAGCGAGAGACGGACAGAATTAAGAAGGCAAATCCAAGGTAAAGAAGATTCAGCCAGCCAGGAATGACCTGGAGGAGGGGTTGGCAGCCTGGGCTTGGGACCATTTGGGCTTGAGTTCCAATCCAGCTCTTGAGTCTCTCCCTCCTCACCCCCACAGGCCAGTCCCAGGGTCCCCAGGGCTCAGGGTCCAGATGGGCCCCCAGGGTGGCCTTGGGAAGCTGGCACCTGGCCTTTGTGTTAGTGACATGCCCTCTAGTGGCAGTAGAGATGCTCTGCATCCTCCACACCCCTGGGGCTGCCAGGCCCTCAGTTCCCAGGAGAACCAAGAAACCCCACAGGAAAGGATGGAGGGGTCTTCTGTCCTGAAAGGCATCAATTCCTGCCCTCTAAGAAGCCCTCCTTCCCCACCACCACCACCACCACCTTTCCAGAAGGCAAGGTTACAGGACTGTGGCCCAGGAGATGAGCATCCCCTTAAGGCCAGGGACTCAGCTCACTCCGACAACCTGAGCCATTGCCAGCCCAACCTCTGCTTGGCTTCTGTGGGTGTTAAAGATGAGTAGCACCGAGAGTCTCCGTGGGATTTCTGGATGCTGGCTGAGCTCACACAAAATGTCAGCCCCTGCACCTGCACCCATGTCCGGTCAGGGGAATCCTCCACTGTGTGTGTGTGTGTGTGTGTGTGTGTGTGTGTGTGTGTGTGTGTGTCAAAGAGAAGAGAGACTATGTGTGGAGGGGAAGGCGGACCCACCCCAGGCTCATGGTTGTGTCTCGCTTACTCTTCACAATTTCCAAATGTAAAGGGTAGGGCTAGCAAGACAACTTTGATTCAAACACAACACCACTTGAGACAAAAGATGAGAGGAAGCAAACACCCAGCCTCCTTCCCCTCATACAAACCCTCCAAGACATTTTCACGGGTGACAATTCTCCACTCTCATCTAAGCTAACTGGATGGAAAAAAAGAAAGAGAAAACCCTAAGAGTCATCTCAGAATGATGGCAACCCCAAGTTCCTCCCTCAGAACAGCCAGTTCTTACTGCCTACTCAGATGGCACATGTCCTATAATCTCTTCTGTTGGCTATGTACACTGGTTGTCCATTTATTGAGCACCTGTTGTATGCACAGACTACTAGCCATCCCTGCCTCTGAGCAATGAGAATGCTAGCCTGTGACACTGATTTCATTTCCAAGATCTCATCCAGAACTTTCAATTCTGCCATGTCCTTTGCAAACCATCCCTGGTTCCTCCCTTCCCACTCTTGGCAAGTCTAGCTCCTGTGACAGGGACACTGAGAGCCTAAGCAAAGGAAAGAGAGTGAGAGCACACACAACCATGGGCCATGGGTTTCCTCTGTTAAAAAAGCTGGCACATTTTCAACTCAGATTGACACCATTCAAGACTCAGGCATAACTGATGTTGGAGCAGCAACGAGGGAGATGTCACGGCATGAGAGAGAGAGAGAGAGAGACAGAGAGAGAGAGAGAGAGAGAGAGACAGAGAAAGGCATTGCTTCTGGATGATGGCAAGCTCAGTGTCAAGTCCTGAGGAAAACATGCCCTTGACTGCTGCAGATGTTCTCGCATCTGACCCATTGCCAAGCAAAATCAAGCAGATTGTGAACAGCTAATGAAGCACCAGGGTGGGGAAAAAGAAAGAGCCATTGGCAGAAAGACAAATGTGGGAGAAAGTTCTCTAAAAGCAGAGCACAGGGGAGCCTGCTCCCTGAACCAGGACGGGAATAGACAAGCAGATTAATGTGGTAGAACAGTCCTGCAGCACACACACCTGTCGGGGAAATCAGTTGGTAGTAAAGCAGTCATATCAAATCACAGGGAAAGGATCATTTCGACACAGAGGTATAGCAATGGGCTATTGATTTGGGGAAAACAAAATATAACAACGCCTCAATTCTAAGATGCAGTTTCCCATATTTTAATGTTTTAAAAGTCATGATATGCCTTACAATGAATGTTGGGGGTGGGGAGGGGACTTAGCTGCTACCCAACACAATTGCCTGTATGTGTGTGAATCTAGTCATGCGTAGAGGTATCTGTTCATTCAAGTGTCACCTCAGCTGACCACAGCAATCCATACAAAATTTGAACTTAAACTTAGATTCCTAATTGTTGCCTAAAACATCTTTCTAAAACTTACACTATAATGGAGCACGGACATGAAAAAGTTATTGTACATGCAGAAGATCGTCTGCCAGATACCAGGCAATGCAATTAAAGACAGTAGAAATTGCCAAACCATAGATAGCTACCCTAAAGAAATGCTTGCCCATATGCACAAAGAGACATTTACAAGGATGTTAATTATAGCACTGTTTGTAAGAGCAAATAATTAGAAACAACCTAAATGTCCACCATTAGGGAACTCACATGGGAAGATCTCCAAAACAAACTGTTATGTGAAAAAAGTGACTATGTACATGATGATTTACTGTATGTAAAACCCTATAATTGGTATACACACATATATGTACGCATAAATCCACAGGTAATGTTTTGGAAGGTTCACCCCTCACAGGCTGGTCCCCTTGGGGAAGGAAACTCAATTTGAACATTAGGGGTTGTTGAAAGACTTCCACTTTTTTACACATTTTTCTATATTATTTTGATTTCTACATTGAGAATATCATCACGATTCTCTTACATAAAAAGTTAAAAGAAATTGCCAAGGTTATTGAAGATCATACAAATTTTATTTTTTATTATGATTTTTTGAGTTGGAGTCTCACTCTGTTTCCCAGGCTGGAGTGCAGTGACACGCTCATAGCTACCGCAGCCTCGACCTGCTGGGCTCAGGTGATCCCTCCACCTCAGCCCTCCAAGTAGCTGGAACGACAGGCACACACCATCACGCCCAACTAATTTCTTTTTCTTTCTATTGTAAACATGAGGTCTCACCAAATTGCCCAGGCTGGTCTTGAACCCATGGGCTCTGGCAATCCTCTCACCTCAGCCTCCCAAAGTCCTGAGATTATAGGTGTGAGCCACTGCACCCGGCTATCACACTAATTTTAAAGCCAGCAGGGATTGGTGTAACCTATTCACGGGTCCCCTGCTTAGGTATCTGTACGTCAGAAACTTCCTAAAGAAGTTGAATAATTTCAGGAATATTTTTTCCTTCAAGTAAAGAAAAAAAAATGAAACCACAAGTGTAACCAAATCAGAAATGCAAGCAAAATA